GGTCCCCATGCCAAAAATGACTTGGAGGGCATACGTTGATTCTATAACCCTGAGCCGCAGAATATGGTTGGGATGGACGGCCCTTTGGGATCTCTCCCAACTCTTATTATTCTATTATTCCTTCTGTTCTTTTTTTCTGTGGTTTATTTTCTGGACAGTTGCTCTGCTTCATAGAACATCTGGATCCTAAATTACTGGACAGATTTCTACAGAGATGGGAAACTTAAACACACATCTGTGAGACCCAAATAAAGATGTAAATCTTGTCCTTCCTTACCATCGCATGCAAAAATGAATATTTTCCATTGTATTCTCTCTGCTGCAGGAGATAAATGAAGAGTTCTGCGCAGCTGTCCAGACATATCGACACCTTGTGAAATATTTTGGGGAAATGATTCTGTGTAGAAACACGTGGTTTTTCGGCATGGACAATGTCTTTTCTGCAGAGCAAACAGTGTTTTGGGTGCTAAAGTTACTGGTCTGAATCCTACTGGTTAGTCCCAACTACGGACAAGCTATTTAATCAACTATTGAATGGGGAAATCACCATGTAGGTAAATCTGGATTCAATAGTTTTGCTTTAGTAATGACTGACCAACCTAATTTAATCTGGTTAGAATCATAGGGTTGAAAGACAGCCCAATGGTCATCCCTTCTGCAATGCAGGAGGACACAATCTAAGCACTCCCAACAGATGACCACCCAGCCTCTGTTTAAAGACCTCCAAGGATGGAGACTCCACCACACTCCAAGGCAGCATATTCCACTCTTAAACAGCTCTTACCATTAGGAAGTTCTACCAAGGCTTAAGTGGAACCTCTTTTCTTGTAGTTTGGCTCTGTGTCCTAGTCTCCGGAGCAGCAGAAAATAAGCTTGCTCCATCTTCAGTATGACATCCCTTCAAATATTGAAACATGGCTTTCTTGTCACCTTCTCTTCTCCAGAATGGATGTCCCCAGCTCTTAAGCCCCTCCTCATAGGGATTTATGGTTTCCAGACCTTTCACCATTTTGCTCCCCCTCCTCTGGACACTTTCCAGCTTGTCGACATCTTTCTTGAACTGTGGTGCCCAGAACAGGGCAAAATATTTCCAGGTGAGATCTGACCAAAGCAGAATAGAGTGGGACCATTACTTCCCTCGATCTAGACGCTACACTGCTATTGATCCAGCTTAGGATCATATTGGCTTTTTTAGCTGCTGCATCACATTGTTGACTCATGTTCAGCTTGCAGTCGATGCACTGCCTTTGCAGACTGCCAGAAATAGTGCAAATTGAGTCCACTTTAAGGGTTAGGGTTAGTGCCAGGGAATCATGGGAATTGTTTTTTCCTGAGACATTGAGCCTTCTCTGTCAGAGAGCTCTGGTACCACAATAAAATACAGTTCCCATGATTCCCTAACCCTAACCCTTAAAGTGGACTCAATTTGCACTATTTCTAGGAGTCTGCAAAGGCCCTTAAGACTCTGAGATCCCTTTCACATGCACAAGCTGGCAAGCCAGGTGTCACCCATCCTATATTTGTGCATTTAATTTTACTGCCCAAGTTATAAGATAACATGTTATCCCTCTTTGGCTGAAATTCAGTGCAACAAAGAGCTGTCATAACATTAACACATAGGAGAGTAGCAAAGTAAATGTGGCACATTGGTACTGATGCCCATTGGGATATTGGCTAGGAAATGCTGATTTGCACTGTTAGAACTACATGTGCATTGCGCCAGTTTTGCATGTGCCCTGATACACATCTTCACAATTCATTACAAGGATACTGTACCACCTCTTCTATATAGCTTTTTATGCATATGGTTGAGCCAACAAACCATGGTGGTTTGAGTGTTGGACTACAACTCTGGAGACCAGGGTTCGATTCCCAGCCTCAACCATGAAACCCACTGAGTGACCTTGAGCAAGTCACATGCTCTCAGCCTCAGGGGAAGGCAATGGCAAACCTCCTCTGAAGAAATCTTGCCAAGCAATCCCCATGATAGGTTGGCCGTAGGGTCACCATCAACTGGAAATGACTTGAAGGCACACAATACCCATACGCATACAGTTACGAAACATAGACTGTGAGACAGAATCACAACCTCTTGTTTCATTGTAAGCCACCTTGGGTCCCTGGAAGGGAGAAAGGCAGGATATAAAATCAATCAATCAATCAATCAATCAATCAAATTGGATCCAGACCTTTAAATTCTCCACTCCACCGCTGGTTTCAACTTTCGTTGGGTGCTGATACAACAGATCCAGTGTGGCATAGTGGTTTGAATGTTGGACTGTGGCTCTGGAGGCCAGGGTTTGAGTCCTAAACCCACTATAGGGACGTTATCACACGTGGGCCAGAAAGCAATAATAAAGTTGAAATGAGGCATTCCGAAAATAAACCGAAAATAAACCTTGATTCCGCAAATGGCTTTCACACGTAATTATACCTTAATTGCGAATTTACAGTAATCCCATTTAACGTTCACACACAAGTGAGAAAAGCCCGTAAATGTACTAGAAATGATCTTCTTGCACATGTGCAGATAGAGGAATGCTTGCCGTGGAACCATGGGAAAAGCAGGGAAATGCTCCCAAATGCGCATTTGCTTTTCACACTACGGTAAATACGAAATTACTGTAATTTCGCAAATGCATTTCCTCAAAACTACCGAATTTCAAAAGATCTCGGATAACAGCAGTTTCTGTCCAGTTTCTGTGCGACGTCGTGTGAAATCGTGAGGCACAAATCCAGTTTCTGTTTGGGATTTGTGTGGATTAACCAGCAGATTTCCCCCGTGTGATAACGTCCTAGGTGACCTTGAGCAAGTCACACTCTCTCAGCCTCAGGGGAAGGCAACAGCAAACCTCCTCTGAAGAAATCTTGGCAGGAAAAACCCAGGACAGGTTGGCCTGAGTCTCGCCATAAGCCGAAAACAACACAAACAACAGGGATGCCAGCAGCTTTCTGCATTAGGCAAAGCACATTTGTTCTCTCCTTGCTCCAGTTCTCTCTTCCTCCATCTCAAGCCCATTCGGCATCTAGTTGCCGTGATCCTTGTCTGCTTCTGTGGCTTGGCCTACATACCTTTTTTGTGTCTGATTTATTAGCAAGGTTGCGCCAGTTGCCAAAGCTCTGGAACCGAAACACCCATCAATGGTTTAAGAGCCTAAATGGGTGTTAATTAGCTCAGCGGGGAAGCCAGAGTTTCAAATGAGGTTTAGCTCCAAAACTACTATTAAGTTTGATAATGCCGAGAGATAAATTTCGGGGACTTCAATTCAAGCCTCCCCTAATCAAACAGATTA